GCAGCATGGGGAGAAACCGAAGGGGCACAAAGGGGATGGAACAACCACCACAGAGAACCGGGTAAAGCAGCCAAGGTAGGGAAAACCGAAGGGACACAGGGAAGGGGAAAGGAATAGGCAGCCAAGGGAAGAAGAACCAAAATGGGGAAACTGAAGAGTCAAAGGCAATGGGGAATGAACCAAATAATAACACTTTATGAGATGAATAAGAAGAAAAAACTCATTAATGAGCTAACTTTAGTAGAAACATACAAAATTTTCAACTTAACTTATTTTGACCCGTTCTTGCCTGCATCAATTCTCCTTAGGTTGAAGAAGCTCATCTCCAGATGAGGTTACTTTTGATTTATTCCGAGGAGACGAAGGAAGTGCATCTAGTTCTTGAATCTTTGCTTCATACCTTTTCAGAATTTCTTCTCGTTCTTGCTTAAACTGTTCTTGCATACGCTTCTTTTTCTTCACGTAGTTTTCCATACTCATATGCAATTTCATCTGTAATTTGTATAACTCATTTTGAAGTGGGTCTGTTGAACTTCCTTCTGTCGGAACCCATATATCCATTAGAATTGGACTTCAGAAGCTTCAGGTTGATTTTCTTCGACAATTGACTCAATTTTTTTATTTTTTTCATTTTTTAAACACTTAAAAAAATCACAAACGACCTAGGAAACTCTTAACCTAGGTTCTAATACCAAATTGATGCAAGCAAAAATAAATTCTAATTCTTGCAAGCAAAAATAAATTCTTCCTAGGATAATAAGAAAATACACAAAATACTAAAATTTAGACAAAATACAACATTTAAACACAATATGACTTTTATAGGATGAAGACAACCCTTACAAACTTATAACATTAAAACAAACACCTTACAACTCTTGACAAACATAAAACACCTAAAATTACAAATCCATTGTTTGAGAAGAAGGGTATAAGTGGCATCGAACTTGCGGAGAGAAGAAAGATGTTAGAAGCCGAGACGAAAAAGAGGACAAGCTCGCAAGCCTTCCCAAGAAGAAGAGAGAATAATTAGAACAAGCTCTCAAGTTTTTCCAAGAAAACCTCAAGTTTTCATCTCCAAAAATCTTATTATAAACTCTCTTTTTTCATACAAAACACCTTATATTTATAAGAGAAAAGAGGGCAACCAAATAGCCCCAGTTATCTTCATTTAAACCAATTAAATCAGTTCCAAAAATCTGTCCAGAAACATCACCCAAAGAGCAACAAAGGGGGCTTGCATTCATTCCAAAACATCACCCAAAAAGGCAACACAGAGAACCGGGTAAAAGCAGCCATGGGACCAGCAGCATAGGGAGAAACCGAAGGGGCACAAAGGGGACCGGAACAGCCACCACAGGGAACCGGGTAAAGCAGCCAAGGCAGGGAAAACCGAAGGGACACAAGGAAGGGGAAAGGAATAAGCAGCCAAGGGAAGAAGAACCAAAATGGGGAAACCGAAGAGTCAAAGGCAATGGGGAATGAACCAAATAATGACACTTTATGAGCTGAATCTGAAGAAGAAACTCATTAATGAGCTGACTTTAGTAGAAACTTACAAAATTTTCAACTTAACTTATTTTGACTCCTCCTTGCCTACATCAATTAGTTATTCATATTGGATAACATTAGGTATGATGTTTAATGCTATGTAGGATTGAGTTTTTTTTTACTAATTATGCAACCCTTTGTATATAAATATAGATCATGAGTTGTATTCAGATGATTGAAAAATTGATAGACAAAAAAAATGGAATTCTTTGAGTGGTTAATTAAGTGTTTTCTTGATGCCATGTCATCTCGCCGCCCGAATAAATGAATATTTTGTAATATATATTTAGGATTCGTCGATATGCATGTAGAATTTGAGAGCAAAAATGAGTCATCAAACACTATCTACCAACATAAAAATGGTAAAACTTCTTTAAATAAAATTAAAATTTTTTACACTTAATTGGACAAATTTTAAATTTCATAGAAATGATTTTCTAGTTAATGTTTAACAAAAATGCAATAATTTCTAAAAGGAAAAGGTTTTGTATGTGCAAGCTCTAGTACCCCACATCATTCCGATGAGGACATCTCCATTCACTCCGGCCAACTAAAAAGCACGACTCGAAATCCTAAGTGGCCAAAAGATCATAACGTCATACTAGGCGAACTGCTGATGGAGCAATATGAAAATGAGATTTTCTATAATGAGAATTTGTAGAAGGAACAATGGTCAAGCTTAGTGGCTACGTTGAACGGCGTTTAGGATCTAACTATATAGAATATTCTATAATCATACAATTTAAAAACATGAAAGCCGACTTCAGAACACTATCAATTGACAAACCGTAACAGTTGGGGTTGGGATGGGGAGTTACACATCCCAGTAGCGCCAAATGAGTTATGGGGAGAAATTGTTCATGTATTATTTTTGCTATTTAGTAGTGCATCGCAAATTATAAAATTGTATTCCTAACTTAGCCAAACTTTCTAAATGTAGGTTAACCCAATTCTTACTCGATTTCAAAGACATCTATTTCATCAGTATGAAATTTATGAAAAGATTTGTGCTAAAAACATTGCAATTGATACAGGTGCAAGATCCAGTAAGGTAACACAATCCATGATAAACTTAGACTAAGACGAAACCCTACATTTTGTTAATGGTGTGAGCTACGACATGGAAGGAACATATAATAACAATCTAACTGACGATGTAGATGATGCGCCACCAAGTGTAAATGTAGTATGCTAGGTTCAAAATGATCTAGCGAAGAACCAGACATACCAACTAGATGTTCCAAGAAGAAGATTGCCTTAGATAACTTGAATTACTTATAGGTTGAGTCGAACAACAATGCAGTTGTCTTTAAAGAAACTATTCAACGCATTGAGTCAGTGAGTCATACACCATGACAGACTGTTTGGCCAAGTTAGGTCAAGTAGAGAACCTGACAACACAAGCTCTCTTAGTTGTTCAGGACATGCTTAAGGAAAACAAGGATGACAAAACAATATTCATGACATTGGAAGTACTTGTAGAATGGATAGAATATTTTGTTAGCTCACACCCACATTTTTGCGCTTCAAAATTTTGGTTGTAGGTGTTTCATTAGCATTTTGCAGTTTAGTAGTGCAATTTTACTTTATGTTAGTGTGTTGTGAAGTTGGCAGTTTGGTTTATGTATATTTGTTGTGGTCATTGCAATTTAATTTTATGTAACATTACAATTTAATTTCAATTATATTTTATTTGTGTTGTAATATTGCAAGTTTGGAGCTAAATGCTATTTTCTTCATTAATGAGTTAGATATCTTTAATATGCAGTTATGTCGAACTATTTGCGTGGAGTTTACCCAGATGTGTTATGTGGCATTGTAGACTTACAACTACAAGTTAATGATGTCATTGCCGAAATAACACCATCTATTCTTCATGAAAACTCTTCCTCAAATGATGAACTCTAATAAGACGGTTCGATAAAACATACATTGGGCATCGATATGTACTGGATGTGCTTGTTGGCCATCTAGAAAGAGCATACAAATGCTTCAGGTTACCTCCAGATGCCTTTGTAAGCCTGAGAGACCTACTAGTCAGCCGCGGACATTTGCATTATACAAAAAATATACTCGCAGCTAAGCAACTAAGTATATTTTTGCGGGGAGTAGTGCATGCTCATAGTTACCACCAGTTATGTGAGTTATTCCAGCATTCATTGGAAATAATTAGTAGGTATTTCAATATGGTTTTACATGTTATTGTATCTTTTGCAGATGAATTCATTAATTTACCTCAAACAGATGCAGAATGTCATCCATTTATACATTCGAATGCATAATTTTATCATTACTTCATGAAAGCAGTTGGTGCAATTGACGGCACACATATTCCTGCGGTATTGAGTAACAACTTACATAATTGTTATCGTAACAGTAAAGGCTTTACTTCACATAATATTATTGTTACAGTGTCATTTGATTGACAGTTTGTGTATGTAGTCTCTGGGTGGGAAGATTTTATTGCGGATATGCGTGTGCTTAGATGGGCTGTGGAGCAAGGTCAGTTTGGAGTGTCCTGCAATCATTATTACTTGGTTGATTTTGGTTATGCAAACACTGATAAGTTGATTGTACCATTTCGAGGATATCGATATCACCTGGCTCACTGGCTGATTATCGTGGAAGAACATCTAGAAGATATGCAGTTCAGCAAGAGTTATTTAATCACTGATATACCCAATTACGCAATGTGATAGAGATGACTTTTGGAATTTGGAAGGAAAGTTTTCAAATGTTGACGCACATGAGACAGTTTTCTCTGAGTGTTCAAGCTGATTTAATTATTGCATGCATAGTTTTACACAACTTTATAGGTCGATATCATGGACATGGTATTTATTTCAATATATTACAGACAGAAATGGAGCATGATAATGAGCGTGGCAAAGTTGAAATGTCTTATGAGGATCCTAACTTGTATATGGTAATAAGAGAAAAAATTCAGGGAGAAGCGAAAAAGCATGATATCACAACAAATTTGTGAAATGCTTGAGTAAGCATTTATCTATTCATTAATAATATTTCAACTTTGAATACATTTTATAGTAATCTATTGATTTTTTTTTTATTTCAGATAAATTATCAAAGAAATTGATCATTATGAGGAAGTTACTCTCCGATGCAAGATCTATCAACTTCTCTATCATGTTGAAGTATACTATCATATAGTAGTCTATCGATGTCTAAAATCATATTAGTCTATTATGCTGTCATGTACTCTTTTCTCAACCAACCACAACCCACATGATATAAATTATTTAACTTTAAAAATTATAAAGTAGTATATTAGAATAAATCAACGGATACGATTGTGTGGGCTTTCGATGGGTTTTGCATGAGTGGATAAGATGAGAATTAGTCTGGGGGAATCACAATTCTTTAACATCACAAATGTAAACCATAAAGCTATAAACACGGCAATTGATAAGATCAAACAAAATAAATACCTTGCAAATGCTGTCGAATGAACACTACCAACAAAAGTAGCGAGAATGGTAGTATCTGCTCAGCCCATTTGGCAAGCTGCTGGATATCAAATCTCTGGTAAGATGATTCGCTGCCGTTTGCTCCCCCCAGGTTTGCGTCACCATCTAAGCTCTGCGTAGCGGGTGGCACAGATGGCAGCTGAGAGGCCGGTGATCCACCGAGCTCCCCAGCCCGATAGTCATTCCCACCATGTTCTCCCAACCTACTAGCATCGGACGCCGTAGGAATCTCCTCGACATGCAAACTATTCTCACCAGTGTTCCTCACTCTCGCAGATGGCGGAACCGGCCCCTGCCCAACAGCCCTAACGCCATCATGATCACCTGCGGCGATAATCCTTATCAATACCTCCCCATGACCGCCTCCACTCGAGCTTGAAGACAACTCCCGCCGGCCGGAAGCATGTTCCGCACCGGGTTCACCAGCAGGGAAGTTCTCGCTCTCCCAACGACTGCTCGATCGCGGTCGCAGTACTCCAGAGAACTCCAGAAGAGCAGCAAGCGGCGCCTGAATGAAGCTCGAAGTCGAAAGCTGCATCGTGTAACTCCTCGAGCTGCTGCCATTCCCAACGGAACCAGAAGCGACCGAGCTTCGATAAGGATCGAAATCTCCGCCGGATGTTTCCATGATTGAAATCCTTATCGTCCGTCAGAATTCCTCAAAAACTGATGGAACGGAAAAAGCCCAAACTTCCAGAAGAGAACGAAACTAGAGCAAATAATGGCGAAGACCGTAAGTGCTCGATTGAGAAAGAAAAATGCCTTTCGAAACCCTAGAAGAAGAAAACGCGGGGAATTGAAAGGCCCGACGCGGAGATCAGTTTCCTCCTGTCAGAAGACGGTGGCCGACCCTTCCTGCTTCTATCTTGATTATAGTAGAGAGAAAAGGAAAAGGGAAGAGTTATCCTCACTAAAATGCTGTGAAGGATTCCTCTTTTTTTTTTT